ATTTATCCTGAAGTAATGCTAGAGTGCTTTATCTTCTGTATTCCCAATTACTAGGTGCTCGTGAAAGTCAAAGCTGACTTTAGTGACTTCATGTTAAGTCTGCAGCATTTTATCTTCACTGTATTTTTTTCTATTGGGAAGTAGCTTGTGTATGCCTGTTAGTCCAGAGTAAAAGGCACCAGATTTGAAATTTATTTTTAATAGTGGAAAAAAAAAGCATAGGGAACCCACTCTGTGCCCCCAAATGATACAGCTGGGACAGGTTCAGCTTGTCTGTGTGGGATTGTTTTCTGTGCTGTAACTGAAGGAAGCAAAGGGTGCCGCAGATACTGCCTTTAAATGTTCATGTCTCTGATGTTAACATTTGTTTAAAAAAGGTTAATTGCAGACAATTATGTGCTAAAGGAGCTACATCACAAGAAAAGTCAATAGTACTAGGAAACTGTAACTTTGAATTAATGATACAAGTGAACAGTTATGCCAGAGCAATTTATTTAAGGAGGCAGCACAGTTTTGTTTTGTTTTGTTTTTTTTTATCATAAACTGCTAAAGAGTGTGGTGGTAGGTTATTTTTTTTTCTTTTTCATAACTGTATAAAAAGGCATATTTACCTCTCCACACTTAAGTCTTAAAGCAAGTGAATAAAGAACCAAGTACTCTGATATTTTAAATTTAACATGCTGTGCATTAGTATTGAATATTTAAAAACTGCTTCTTAAATTAAGCTGTGCCCATTAGATGGGTTTCTTGAAGGCAAAAGGCACAGTTGTGCTTACTTAGCATGAGAACCTCAGAGTTTAAATAGCTTCTATTTATTTTGTAATCTGTGTCTGTGTTGAGTCAGTTACTGAATTATGGTGCTGGTGACTAAAATTTCATTAGCCTATCATGAAACTACAGCAAAATTGGGGGAATCTCTCTTTTCCTGGTCTCCAACCCAGTGTCATGGGTGTTCATAAAACTGTTCAGTTAACATTCAACCTTTATCCAACATGGATAAACCCCCTACCTGGAATCCATCTCAGAGCTTTTGAGAGACTATGCTTTTTTTTTTCTTGGTAAGCTAGCTAAATCTTTAAAGGTTTTTGTATTGAAACTCTGTGGGTTTGTTGGGTTATGTGTTCTGGGGTTTTTTTAAGCTCCATAGCAGACTGCTTATGTTTCATGTATATAAGTGCCGTCAGGTCCTTACCTGAAAGCAGTCCTGGTCCTCCTGGCTCCATCCTCATTTTGGATGGATGCTGTATGGCTTTAAAATGCCCTGATGAGAACAGATACAAGGACCAATGAACAACAAAACCAAGCCAAAACAAACAAACAAAAACCCAACCCCCAAAAGAGGAAAGGCAATGAGAAGTAGAGAGAAATAAAAACTCTGACTGGCCCAAAGCCTCTGAGGGTTTTTTGTTGCTCAGTTCCTGGTGTTAGGCTGCTTGACAGCTCTAGAAAAGGCTGGGCAGACTAGCTTGATCTCACATGAATTTTTTACTCTCAGTCCCATTAGGGCCAAAAAGGAGTTGGTTCACTCCTGATAAGTGTCAGTGCAAAGCAACAGAGAATCAAACCAGCTGAGCTGGTCATGACCTTTAATGCATAGTGATAATTAATAGCTAATGAGACTGGTAAAACTTGGTCCTGAACTGCAGCAGGCTACATCATCTGGACTGCTCAGAAAATAAAATTTTAAATTGCTCTTTGAAAGGGAATTAAAGCCATCTTTTACCATCATGGGCAGAAAGATAACCCTCTCCATTAAAGTATGTGTCATACTTGTCGCTGAAATGTATGTCATCTTCAGTACAGGTATGCTACAGAATAACAATTATTCATGAATTTGAGGTCAGAGGGTAGGGTAGGAAAGCAAGGGTTAGACTAATATAATACCTGATTTTAATCTGTACTTTAATTAAGGGCTGCTGGTTTAAATTTTATAGAGGCCCTTCTTGTCACTCTTTTCTGGCATGATTTCTTCTATTCGCATAGTAGTGAGCTTGATATGGGGTTCTTTAGAGCCTTTTCTGGACTACTCTGTGCTCTGGAGCAGATACAAAAATTTACCAGAGCAAACGAGTGAAAACCACATATTAGAAAATATTGTTACTTTACTATGCTTTCTTTTTTTTTTTTTTTCCCCCCCTATATGTATTTCAACTATTTCCCCTTTTTCTGTATCAGCTGGTGCTGACCATGGTTGATCACCTTGATGATCTTGGAGGTCTCCTCCAACCTAAAGGATTCTATGATTCTATGAGCCCTGAGGCCAGTCCATCTAGGACAACTCTATGCACCATGACTCTTCTCTTGCTCGTGTTAATTGAAGAGATGAACTTTGAATAAATTCTACTAACCTGAATTAGGCAATTTGTTCCCCAGAACTCAAAAGGACCAAGTCAAATTCAGCTTTTGACTCATGGCTGAGTATTGGCTTGTGTAGTCAATGAGCAACAAAGAGCATCCATGTTCTGAAGGTGAAGCTGAATGTTTCACCATGCTTGTGAAGCAGACAGTGTAAGTTGAGATTTCCTCATGAGGAATATTTTTTTAATCCATTGAGAGTGTCTGTTTTCCTTGTTTCTGGGGTTTGTCAAATGGAAGGAGAAGGAAGAAGGGATGCAATTCTAGGAAGAGGCCATGCTCATTAATGCAAGGCTTATGCTTTTTGAAACGTTAAAGTTCCCAGTCCCAATTCCTTAGCCTATGTTAGTCATTTCTGGCTTTGTGGTGGCTATTTTTGGACCGTTTAGAGAGGATGTTTTAAAAATGGACATAGTGCTTCCTGGCAGAGGAGACCCATACAGGTTGTGTAGCAAGGAGCCTGGCAGAGCATGTGGAGGTGCAACTGAGATTCTCATTCCTTTGGCTTGTAAAAATTCAGACAGAACTTCAGCTGGCTTTTGTCGTGGGAATGGATTTACTTTGGAGGAGAGCAGAAGCTGTGCAGAAACATTTAATTTGGAGAAAGATACTTTTTTTGGCTAATTCTGCTCCCAGTTAGGCCTCTTGAAGCACTTGGGAGAAATGGTTGATTATTTAAAAGCACTGCAGTCTGTAGTTACTGCAGAGAAAAAAAATAACAAAGACACTTCTGGATTTATGTACCACATTTCAGGAAACAACCTCAAGACATCAGCTTTTTCAGCAGGGTAGATGTGTGTGTCACATCAAGCTGGCTTTCAGTGACAACTGGCTGTTGTTCTTCCTGCCCAGCCTACTGGGACGCATCCAGGGCTTCCATCTGGGGCCACCACTAACACCTAAACTGAGCTTACTGCTAATGTCTTTGTTTCAGTCAGCAAGAAATGAAAGGACAATAACAAATTGAGAGGGATTACCTGTAGTTTTTAATACTTATTGTAATCAGTAAATATTTTGTTAGGAAGTTTGTAGAAAGGTAAAAAGGCAGCAGTTTTAAATTTACATTTTGAAAACATGTTTTTGTCTGTACATTGAGGTCAGTCTCACAATTGAAGAGCAAATCTCATTTTCTGTGTAGAGTCTCAAACTACAGTAGCTTGGGCATGTAAAGCAGACCACTGCAGCTCTTGCATTTCTTCTAGTTGCTTTCTGTGTCCATGATAAAACCTGATGCAGAAGGGACTCCCTTGCCCCCCACCCTATGTGTGGGAGCATCGCTTTTGGAGAGATTATTTTTAGAACATATGCTTTTATAACAGCCACAGTAGGAGCACAGAGCAGTGACTTTAAAATGCCATAGTTGTACATGCACTAACTCCAAACAGTTGTACTCACTAGCTTTTGCTAAAGCAGATTTCAGTTTTCAAAGGGAATGATGGCCAGTGATGACACATCTGTTTGAAATCTTTGAAAAGAGCCAGATCACAAGATCTGTGTAAGTTTTACTGATGTGGGGAGTTTGTAGACCCTGCAGGATTCCTCTAAAATCATGTGGAAGAAAAATATGACCCAATAAGCTTTGCCCAATACCTCGTAACTCAGCTTGAGCTGTAAACTAATTTGCTATTCTCATACCCCTCATAAAGTATAGCAACCTTGGAGAAGAGAAGCTATGTGTTTAATTTGTTAGAAAACACTGAAATCACAGCTTTAATTGCCAAACTCAGTTCAGCCTTATCTGCTGAAACAGTGGCAACACTTTCACCTATCTTCTTAGCTGCTGATTAAAACTCCAGGAATTATGGAAGATGGAAAGATGTGTTTCTGTGGTGTGTTGGTTTTGGTTGGGATTTTTGTGTTGTTGTTTTGTTTGGGTTTTTTTTTAAGTATTATTAAACTGTTCTTTCTGTAGCACAGTTGAAGTTTCATTATGAATTTGATAAGAATTAATATAATAAATATTTTGCAGCATTCTGCAATTAAAAACCAACAAGAAGCAAGTTGAGGTAAATTTCACAACATTCTATCTATGTGCTTTGAAGCAATATTGCTGTACAAATGATGGTAAGATTTGCAATCAAGCTCATACACATTTTGTGCATCCAAGATATGACTTTAAAATCCCTAAGCAAATGCTCAGCGGGGAGTGTTCTCAGTAGTCAAGAAGAGCAGAAACAAGATGACAGCAGTAACAGCTGAAATACAATTCTTTGGAATATTTGTGGCATACTAGCTGTCCAAACATCATCATCTGGCAAACAATATCCTCCGAGGCTTGATGTACAGCACTCAAGCTTTATTTCAAATACTTTGCTGAATGATACATTTGAAATTAATTAGAGAGTTGTCTTTCTAGAGGCATGCAGATACAAGTCTTGCCTTACTGACCTAGGGAGATGTGTGAGCATCTAAGCAACGTGTAGCTCCCTCACCAAGAAGGGACACTGGATTTACCAGTTTTATCATTTGTCTGTGACCTTATTTTGCATCACCTCATGTCAACTCTTGTTTTAACATGCTTTTAACTCACTCCTATTCCCTTGAGAGATTAACGCTTGTACCCCTTAGTGCTCTTGAGAAAATAAATATTAAATATAGTAAGATGGATTAATTTTTCATTTTACTACTCATTGCTTTCCTTTCAGCTTCCTGCCTGATTACATCAGTGGTGATTTTGATTCCATTGAGCCTGAAGTCAAGGAGTACTACAAGGTCAAGGTAAATTAATTCTCTTTGCGTTTGTGCATGTTGGACCGTTGTAGGATCCAACACATTAGTGCCCCCATTGGTCATTAAGTGGTTCTGGCTCCACTGGTTTCTTTGAGGCTTCAGCTGTGAAGCACCTTACAAGCTCAGACGTGCTGCTTTCCCTGGCACTGTACTAGTGCTTGAAGCAAACACGGGAGGTGTGGTACTGCCCAAATCCTACGTAGGGTGCAGTTTTGTAGCACCAGCTCAAGAAATGGATGGTACGTTGCTGGAGATACAGCAACTAGGGTAAAGCTTCTGAAAAGTCTGTGACTTCTTTTGGTCAGTAAGATAATGAGCAATAGAGATTAACCTCCCATGATTCCCACGTGACTGGCACCCACAGACTTTCTAGAGAGGTTGTGTGAGATTTTTGCATGATACGACTTTACCTTTTTAGCAGGAAGCTGCAGATGGAGACATCCGTCTCTTTCATCACCCAGTGAACCATTGAATTATGCCCCAACTACTTCTGCTTCACTAGTGGAGTGCCCTCCTTAATGGGTTTTTGGACAAATTCCTGCATACATTAATTTATTCCCAGTGTAGCCACTGTGTTTCCAGTGAGCAACATAAATATAAACTTGCATTTCTTAGATGTCAGAGCTCAAAGTTCTGCCCTTAGCTGTCTATTTGATATTTAATGCTTCACTTGCCTGCCTGTATAGACTTTTATTATGTGTGCAGTGGTTTGCCCTCATGTCTTGGACAGACAGGTTTGTTGGTTTCTTCAAGTTCAGGGTTTTCCTCAGTGAGTCAGCTTGCCTTTGCAGCAGGCTGCTGTTGCAGGAGCAATAAGTGTTTGATCCTTGTGAGCTAGTGGTCTTAAAGGTCTGTGATATGTCTGCTGCTAACACAGTGTATAAGGCTGAAATTTGCCCAAACTCTTCCCTGATGGCCTCAGGATCAAATGGTTAGAACAAAAGGTTTCAGACTGTGAGAGGTGGGCTGGAGTGTGTAGCACTGGGTTTACAGTCATCCTCTGAGCACTCGCTGGGGTTATCTTCCATGTTTTACACCATTGCTTAGAAGGGAGAAGTGTGTGATAGCTGTCCATGTTGGGAGAAGAGCTCAAGAAAAAAGCTTGGGAATCTTGAGATTACAGTTTAGGAAGTGAAAATAAAATAAAAAACTTTGTATTAAATGCTCTTCATTACAGACTGGAAATTCATAATCTTGAGAGTAAATGGGGAAATCACAAACTGCACTGCTCCATTTGGCATGGGCATGGCTATTAATGCTTATATAAATTGCATGTTGGTAGGTAGGTAGGTCCTACCAAAGAATTCAGGTTAAGGATTGCCCAACAGAAAGAACAGAGATGGAAAAGGTAGGAGGGGGAACAGTACAATACAGTAGGACATGGAAAAGGATAAAATAAGCTACACTTCTTCATGGGGGTTACTTCTCTGGCCATAGCATCCCTTTTGTCAGCTCCACTGTAGCTGACTGTTGGTGTGCAGTTCACATCTTCTCTCTGAACATGTACTAAACTGTTCTGCTTCTGACAGAGCTGGTACACCCATGTGAATTTTCCCCAGCACACACCCTCTAGCTATAGCTTAAGCTTCTTCCAAACTCACACTTTCTGTGCAGAGTGTTTTATCCTGCAGTGCAGATTTTCATCTCTTGGTGCCCCTTTGCTTTTTCCACATGTACCTACTGTAGTTTATTCCCAGACGTTACACAAAGGAAAGGTGACACTTTTTGAAGGCACTTAACTTGGAATAAGTTGGGAGCTTTGCTGTCTGGTTGTCATGTTGCTGTGACCTGTAAGGAAATGGAGGGGGTGCTGGGGTGTGTTCCTTTGTACCTGTATAACCAAGGAATTCCTTACGGCCTGGGGAGGAGCTGTCACATGTGTGGAGCAAACGTGAAGGCAAGTGAAGCAAGCAGCAGGTGCTGAGAGGGGTTCACTTGATGTACAGGGAGGAGTCATGGCTGCTTTTCTATCACTCAACTTTGACTTGATTGCTGTAGATTCATCTGCCAGGTGATATGTGCCAGCAGTGCTGAAGGAGCTGGAGGTTCCTTCAGTATTTCAGTTGCAATGAATATTACAATGAATATTGCAATATACCAGGAGTTAAAGTGATTGGGTTTTTTCCTTTGTGTTTTTTATAAACATGCTTTATAGTTCTGCAAGTATTACATTTAGCGCAGAGTGTCAGTGACTTTTTTTTCCCCATAAAAGCTGTCCATATTGACAGACATTAATACATCATGACTTGCTTATCTATCTGAAGATATCACACCACTGGTGAAGTTACTTTTTCATAGTAAACCTCATGGCTGTTAGCTGAGTTGTAACACACACTCATGTACAAGTGTTTGTGTGGAACCCAGGCTGGTGTAGTGCCGAGTTAGAAGGGGGAGTATTAAACTCAGTGTTTAATACTCCCCCTTCTCCACAAATTGTGGAGGTGTAATTGCCTCCACAAACTAATTGTGGTTCTGTCAGGCATTGTCTGTAGGCAGTTGTGTCATCATCATGAAACAGTGACAGGCCTGACTCCTTCATCACACCCGCCTCGTGCCAGGGTGTTGCTGCTAGACTTGGAAGGGTTTTACCTCATTTAAGTGATGAAAGCAAGAGCAGAAATATGCCACTACAGGAAACGTCACATATGGATTCCTAAAGCTGAACTGGAAGGCTTAGATTTAAGACAATGGCTCTGATGTTTTTAGTTGAGCAAGAATTACATGACAAGTATTTCCATTTTCCCTTAAGGAGGATTAAAGCCATTGTGTCAGGGAACCTTATTTAAATAAAATTTGTAAACATGAAGCAAATAAATCCATTCTATCTCTGTTAGGTGTGACATGCCATGGTTAGTGAAGAGATTTAAAGGCAAAAGTGGGTTTTTTTCAGTTGTGTTGGAAAGCGTTCATGTAATAGATTTACAGAGGGGATGTGTCATTGATCTGTTGGGTGTTAGGCCCTGGGGAGAGAAGAAGTAAGCTTGTGTCATAGGTTATTCAGCTTTACCTTTTATTTTCTGCAGGCTTGGTTTTGCCTCATTGACTTGTCAAGTAGGTACTTGTAGTCTTTTGTTATTTATATTAAAAAATTACTGATGATTTCCCCCATTTCTTAAAGAGTTAAATAGCATTAAAATGGGGTAAAACTGCACCATAACTGGAAAGGGAATATTATGTTTAAATTTCCCTTTTAAAATCACATTTTGCTATAAATGGAGGATAAAGAATAACCATTCAGCATTCTTTATACTCTTTATTTTCTCTCGTTAAAATAGTGAGAAGAGGTTTTGTACTTCCACAATAAATAAGTATGTTCATATGATCCCATAATAGATACCCTGGCAATCTTTCATTGTATGGTCTGAAATGCATTGGAAATGGCACTGCACAGAGCAGGCAGAACCTGGGGTGGTAGTTCTGTCCTTGCAGTTTCATCTGTTTCTCAGTTTTTGTTACTGAAAATTTTTAAACATTACTTGGAAGTGAAAGCAGCCACTTGTGTTGTTACTCCTCAAACAAAGCTTAGTTTCTGAAGTTCTGAGACCAAAGACATTGTCTAAAATTATACTAAAGCTGCATGTATGCCTAGAAGCAGAAGGTTGAATCTAGTGACCTTTGAAATCCAGTTTATGCTATTTATTAAAAATCCAGTTTGGCTTTTCCACTAAGCAAACTTCATGTGCTTTAAAAGGCTTCTGTAGACTTAGGAGGCTCTGCTTCAGACCTGTAATTAAATGCTGTGAATTTACTTACCAGTCCATTGTTTTTCCTATTCTATTTTCTTTTTAAACCCCATAAAGCTGCTTATTTTTGCATGCAGTTCTGCAGCTGTAGCAGTCTCCCTTTCCTTTTCTATTATATTTCCAGGGTTTAATCATTATCAGGGTTGTAGAAATAATTAATAGGTGTGGCGTGGGTATTCTGGTTTTGTTCTTTGAGGATGCACCTGTAATTAGGTTTACAAAATGTTTTTGCAGCAGTGAAGTAGTGCTTGTGCATCTCTCTTACTACAACATTTTCTTCTTAAACTGCATGTTTTCGTGTCATGTTCCCCTGATTCCTTTCGGGGGCCAAACTTTTTTTATAATTTGGAGAAATCACAATGTTAATTGATTTCCCTCAGTTATATCATTATAATTCTTTGAAATTTTTTCTATGACTATTTTAATTTACTTTTTATCCCTAAATATTAGTATTTCTTCTAAAATGAATTTTTAATAGAGAGTGAGCCTTTAAATATTAGGAAGTGTGACTCATTTAAAGCCTTTCATTAGATTGAACAGTTTTCTAAGAAAACAAAGCTCATTTTAAGGCCCAATTCCTTTGTGAGAATTTCAAGGTTTCAGAAGGACCTGTAAAAGTTGTGCCTTTGGACCTGGAACAATTCAGTCTTGCTGTTGAACAGGCTACTCCTACCTGATAGTCACCACTTAAGCTTTCAGGCAGTCCCTGGTTTTGCGTCCTGCTGCAAGCATCTCTGAAAACTATGACAAGTGCTGTGTCTACCTCAGTTCACCTGATGTGTTGAGGGTGCCCCGGCCACCCAGATTTATACCCAAGTTACAGGTTGAAATATTTTTTTCTACTGATATACATACACTGAAAGAGCTTCAGTGTCTTTAATATAGATAAAGATTCATCAAGTTAAAATGATTTATAAGTCTGGGATGATCCTGTTATAAATAGTTCAAGCCTTAGGTGACTGTATATGCAATTTAGGATTTTGAACGGTAAGCTTTCTGTGTGTCACTGCCATGTAATTGTTCAATGAGAGCTTTCATTAAATGATCCCTTACTTGAATAGCGTATCAGAGGTCTGGTCAAGATCTTGTTTCCAAGTGAATCGTATAGGTGATTTGGTTTATATGTATTTCTTATTCATGCCAAAGAGAATTAACACCATAATGCTCCAGAAATGTCATAAATTTGTCAGAGGTACTGTGCTCAGTGTCACTTTTGTGAAGGTGCCCATGACAGATGGTCACACT